TGTGCTCCCGGCTGTGCCATCACACATTCCACTTCTCTAGAGAGCTGGATGGGTGTGTGTGCTCCCGGCTGTGCCATCACACATTCCACTTCTCTCTCAGAGCTGACTTCTGTTGTACTCAAGAAGAGAGGGTCCTTTCCCTCAAATTCTTGGAAGGCCTAAAATTACAATTTGTGACTCCACCATCTATTAATACATACTGTCACTTGATAAACTGTCATTTGCACAAAACTCACAGAGGCACCCACCCGGTGAATGAGGCATAGTACTAAGACTTAGGACCTGATGTTGCGGTGTTCCTGTTTTAGCTTCTGCATCTTGTTTGCTGTTTTCCACCATAACTAAAGCTTTGGCCTGGCTGTGCTGAATTTTACACAGCCATTTGCAAATAAATCTGGACTCACAGGAGCCTGGGTCCCACCTCTGCTACTTCGGTGCTGTGCACTGGGTGGCCCAGGCCAGGACCTCTCAAACTCCCATGTTACCACGTAGCTCTGGCTTCAAAAGGCCTGAGGCAGGGTCCTGGATTCTGCCTCTCCCACAACACCCGGGAGGCCAGGCAAGACAGATGCAGAGGAGCCGCGTCACACAGGCCCCACCTGGCCCACGATGGGAGGGACACAGGCCATCTGAATTTCGGAAATTCAAGCCCCAGAGGTTTCAGCCATCTGATTTCAAAGAGGACACTAAAGTGTTTTTGCTTGTAATCAGTCCACAGAAAAACTAAAAGTAAAATGGTCTAGCTTTCATCAGAATCTTTTAAAAAATAAATGCTGTTGGAAACAGGGCTACTTTTTCTCACCTTCCTTTTCCAAACCAGTTGCCAAGGCAGGTGACGACGCTGGGCCAGCCGGTGGTCTGCACTAGCCCATTGATGACCTGTGGGAGAGGCAGAGGAGAGACTGAACTGCAGGAAGCGGGCTGGGGAGGGTGCCACAGTGGGGGTTGGGGGGGCGCCTCGGGGAGGCACACAGAGCTTCTCCGCTCAAAGAAGGACTGTCAGAGACGGACTGTCAACTGCATATTTATATATAGTTTAAACTACATATGTATTTTTAAACCATATATACAGGCATCTATATATTTTTCAAAATAAAAGTAATACATGCCTATTGTGCAAATTTTAGAATAAGTAGAGAAAAGCAAGAAAAGAAACCCCAGCCAGAACCCCACCACCAGGAGATAACAGCTCATAACAGTGTGGGGCCAAGCCTTCTGGTCTCTTTCGAATCTAAAAACATTATAGAAAGAGGCTAGGTGCAGTGGCTCACGCCTGCAATGCTGGCACTTTGGGAGGCCAGGGTGGAGGGTCTCTTGAGTGCAGAAATTTGAGACCAGCCTGGGTAATATAGCGAGACCCCCTTGTCCACAAAGAAGTTAAAAATTAGCCGGGTGTGGTGGTGCACACCCATGGTTCAAGCTACTCAAGAAGCTGAGGTGTGAGGACTGCCTGAGCCCAGGAGGTCAAGGCTGTAGCGAGCTGTGTTTTCACCACCGTAATCCAACTGAGCAACACAGTAAGGATTTTTATCTCAAAAAATAAATAAATAAAAACTTTATAAAGAGAGAAACCTTTCTTCTCTTTATAGAATTGTACGATAAATATGGCTTGTAAATTGCATGTTTGCCCTTACAATACCGTGGGGAAGGCACAGTTGTTAATCATTCTCTGAAATGAACACAACCTTGACTTAGCACCTGGACAAAGCATCTCTGCACCTTTGAAGACTACCCCGACCTGAGTTTCGTGAAGAAACTTGGGGAATGTATTGCTGAGGATGCTTGAGCGCCCTGAGACTTGGGGGCTGCTCTACGAGACTGCAGGAAACCAGGGCGAGCCTGGAGCCTCTGACCACCTCACTGCACTAAGCCAGCTCTCTAGATCAGGGTCCTCAACCCCAAGCACAGACTAGTCCTGATCCGTAGCCTGTTTAGGAACCTGGCCGCACAGCAGGAGGTGAGTGGTGGGCGGGTGTGTCTTACCGCCTGAGCTCTGGCTCCCTTCAGATTAGCGGTGTCATTAGAGTCTCATAGGAACGCGGACCCTATTGAGAACTGCGTGTGTGAGGAATCTAGATTGTGTGCTCCTTATGAGAATCTAACACCTGATGACCTGAGGAGGAACAGTTTCATCCCCAAACCATCCTCCTCTCTCCCTTGTTCCCGGTGGAAAATTGTCTTCCATAAAACTGGTCCCTGGGGCCACAAAGGCTGGGAACCGCTGCTCTCGAAGGCGCTCTGGACCAGCCAGGCTGGGCATTCACTCCAGAAACATGCTGGGACTCTGGAAAATGGTTTTCTCCTCGCTTCTTGTTTTCTATGTTGCTACACAAGTGTGAATTGCTTTTGTAATTAAAACAGTCAAGCCTTTTCAAATGTTATGGCAAAATCTTGAGAAGTAAAATTAAATACCATTTGCCTGAGGGTTTTATAACACTCCCCTGAGCTATCGGGGAGCCTCAGAAGCATCACAAAGCCTGAGATGAGCATCATTATTTATTTTCTATCACTTTCCATGGCTGCTGAATATTGATCCACAGGACTGCTGGGAAGGGCAGAAGCCGGGAGATTCCAGAAGGGCTGGGCCCAGCGCCAAGGGCAAAGCCAGTACGGGCTGTCCTCAGGCCTTCTCCCCTTCTAGCACCTTTGTGATCTCTGCTGTCCCCTCCACTGACTGCCTCCCACCCCCCTCCTGCTGCCCGACTCCCAAGTCGGCCCTTCTTTCCCCCCTTGCCTCCCTCTGGAGAGTCTCCCCATTTCCTCACTGTGACCCAGCCACAGGTTTTCCTCTGCGGGCTTGAACCCAAGTTGATCCTTGAACATTCCAGGCACTGATAAAGGTGTTTCAGTTGTTGACCCAAAACACGGAAAGAAACTAGCCCTGGCCCTGAGCCAAATGCCTTAAACTCTCATATCAACTCCATATGCCAATCCGTCGCTGCGGAGAGACCTAGGTGGAATGCCCTGCCCCGCTGTGTCGAGATTACACAGCCCCCAGTACGTCAGTTCCCCTGACAAATGCTTTACCCTGATCACCCAGCATTTAGTGCTTTGTCTTTGGGAATTCCAACTAGCCCTATCTTGGGATGGTTTGGGGCACTCCCTGGTGGGAACTCCCCTGCCACTGCTTTTAGGGTGACTCCAGCTGGGGTTTTGGCTGGAGGACACACCCTCCAACACCTGGGTGGTCAAATCTTTCTCAAGATAAAGCATCTCAAACTTATCCACATGAAGATGGGATGACTCCTAAGGGCTCTGCACGTCAGCCTCCCTGCTGGGGCACTGACAGACAGCATTCTTTACGAGGCAACTCCTGAACTTAAGAAAATCCTCCTGGCTGCTGGAATTTCCAAGCAGAAGAGAAAGGAAGGACTTTGTATGTCAGCAGACCCCTCCTTCAGACAGGATGCAATTCTGGCTCCTCCCAACAGCTTGACAGCGGTGATGTGACATAAACACCCCATGCTATTCACAAAGGAACCCCCATACATGGCGAGCCACGGACCCAAACCTTACCTGAGTTACCACGTAGAATCCGAAACTGTGGATGTTGTAGAAATACCCTAAGCCGAACAGGGCGGTGAAGGCTCCACTGGCGAGCATCCCAAACGTTAGGTAATACCTAATCGGCAGGCGTTCCCCAATTATGCCACTGAGGTGGAGAGAAGGAAACACAAACAGGAGATAACAAACACACCCAGAACGTCAACCACCTGCTGGCTCTTTCTTCCTGGATGTTTTCATGCTGTTCTCTGGGCTTGGAGAACTCTCAAGCCTTACAATTTCCAGGAAGGTTTCATACAACTATTTCCCTATGGGGTGTTTACTCACCAGAAACCAGAGACTGGTGACATCTTAGAAGAGTTTATTTCTAGCAAAAGTCCCTATCTCTCAAATAATAAAATTCAAACACTGTGACTTATCTATGACAGTTGCCAATGAAGGGAACCAGGAACTTGTCGTGCCAGTTAATCCTGCCGTCACATAAACCGTATCCAGTAAACGTATGTAGTGCCTTAAAATTCCAACCGCCAAACTACACCACATGTCATGGAACGAGATCACGGATGACCCCCAGCAAGTCCCTCGGCCCCACAAGCTGTAATTAAGTTACCTGTGTTAACACACCGGGCTGGCTGGGCTCAGCGGGGAAGTGGCTTTCGGCTGCTTGCCACTGCCACCTCCCGCCACACCATTCTGACCTGATTTAAAGGCAGAGGACTGGTTCTGTGGTAAGGTCTTAAATGCTGGGGTGGCTTCTCTCTGATCCTCTGAACAGCAATACAATTTGCCAAACGGCTACCCTCTTTGGTGTCTTACCCTTTAGAGCTGTCTGGGGACCCGGTGGGATAAATGATTATTTACGCCTCACTGAAACAGCCTCGAGGGGGGTGGTAAGCACGTTTCCAGCTTCACAGTAGGAAACAGACTTAACAGTCTTTACCCACCATCATAGCACACGGCCCAGTGCCATCCAAAACATCCCTTACTGTTTTATGGGAAATGTTACTATGGACCAACTTAACATGGTGACTTACTAAGTAAACAGAAAGGCTGTAGAGCGTCACGGATGAACGTGAGCCCTTCACAAGCGTTAGAGATTCTATGGGTCTCACTTTCTTCTGTAGGGTCATTCTAGAAGTCAGATAAACAGGAAACCTAACACGCAACGGCACCTGCCTGCCTCTGGGAGTCAGCGCCAACATCCTCATCTTTCTTTTCAAGAACCTACACCAGAGAGCTTTTCCTCTGAATTCATCAAGTAAGAGAGATCTACCTAGGATCATGCAAATGACCTTTTAAACACTAAAGCAGAAGAAAGTAATTTAAAATTACAGACAACATCCAAGTGAAAATTTCAGCTAACACCTCACCACACACAGACTCAAGGGCATTCTGGAGCTAAGGAGTCATCAACTTCAACCTGCCCACTTCAGAGATGAGGAGATATGTCCCTGAGAGGCCAGTTGAGACCAGGAGATATGTCCCTGAGAGGCGGGCTGACCTGCCCAGGTCACAGCACAGCTGGTAGAACCAGACGGGCTCCTGAGAGCTGGTGCTGTTGGCTAGGCTTCGAAGTATTCTGCAATCTTGCTATATAATTTGGGCCCACTTTGATCTCTACTAAAAAGTTTTAAAGAAAAGTTCTAATTGAACAAACACCATTTCACATGATATGGGACTCATACAGGGATTCAAGTCCACGCTGCACCTGCCTGAACCCGCCAGGCTGTACCTGGGCTGAATGACTGTACCCTCTCCTGTATTTCATCTGACACAGTAAGCAAAACACCACCCATTGCAGAGACCTCGGGTACGGACTGTCATACAAAAAGGCCCCTTCAATGAAGCAGCGTGTGCCCCTGCCCATGAGTTTACTGTGTAGATGTCGCATTAGACCGAATTTTGTTTTAATAACCTTACTGACGAGTTGCATAAGAATTACCTTTACTGATAAATAAGCAACAATAAGCCACTTTGTTTACTTAAAGCAGGCTTTCTGAACCTCAGCACTGTGGATATTTTGGGTCCGATGATTCTGTGGCATTGGTGGCCATCCCGTGTGTTGCAGGACGTTTAGCAAACACCCTGGTTTCTATCCACTAGATGCCAGCAACATCCCTTTCCTGGTTGTGATACCCACAAATGTCTCTAGACATTGCTAAACGTCCCCTAGGAGACAAAACTGCCCCCAGCTGAGAACCAGATTTAAATAGTTTTCTAGTAACTGAGAAAAACACACTCCCACTTTGGGTCTTTTTATACCACAGATGATTTGTGTTCAGTAAGCCTGCAGTCTGGGGACTGTAAACATTTGACCTCAAAATGGAGAAGGTATGGCAGCCTGGCTGAGACCCAGGCCCTAAGGAAGCCCAAGGTACACACCACACTCTTCCCAGCTAGGCTCATGTTCTGCGGCGCACCACACACGCTGGGCTTTATTCATTAGTTCACTCAGACAAGTTCTGCAGAAGGAGGCAAATCGACACATTCAATAAAGGGAGGGCTATGCACTCCCCTCCAACAGCAGACACTGCCTGCCTGGGCACCAACCACTCATCAGGGCGCCGAGTGGGGCAGAGGGCCCAGGTCTTGATGATCTCACACTCTGGGCGGCTCTCAGGGAAGCAGCTAAACTTTTATGGGGATCCCTGGGGTTCTCCAGGCTTAAAGATCTCTGTCTCTGAACAAAAGCCTCCTGGGACTGCATGCTCCAGTCCCCGGCTGTGGCTTGACTATGGTCAGTCTCCATCAAAACTTGTGTGGAGGCCTGGTCCCCAAAATAACTGTGTTGAGAAGTGCAGGGAGCTTTGAAGGACATTTGGGTCATGAGGGACGCGCCTTGATGCAGGAATGCATGCGCAGGAGAGAGCAGCTGCACTCTCAGGACTGACGAGCTGTCGGGAGAGGTGAGAGCGGGCTGCTGTAAAGCAAGGCCGCCCTGCGCTGTGTGTTCTGTGTGCACCTGCTCACTGCTCGCCCATCTCACTGGTGCCTCTGCCAGGTGACGCCCTCCACCACAGGACAATGCGCCACAAGGCTCTTGCCAGCTGCAGCGGCCCAATCTTGAACTTCCCAGTTAGATAAGAGCTAAATATACCTCTTTTCATTGTAAATTACTCCATCTCAGATATTGTGTTAACAGCAACAGAAAATGGGCTAGAATATCCCTATAATGCCTTTAAAAAACACCTGGCTGGACTGACACACTAGCAGTTTGAGATCAGCCAACCACACATCCTACCGCCCCACAACATTCACCACCTGCTTGGTCAATTCAAGGGTGGGATAAGAATGGGCTGGGCTGGCAGCAGAGGCCAGGCACCGTTCTGAGCTTCTACATACATTAACTCAATCTTCACCCCAATCCTGTGATGTAAGAACTATTATTTCCCCCATGTTGCAAAGGGGAAACTGAGGCACAAAGAGGTATAGTAGCTTGCCCAAGGCCATATCCTAGCAAGTGGTAGAGATGGGATTCAAATCCGAGCTGTCTCTCTCTGGAGTTCCCCCCCCCCGCCATGTGGGGCTGCTTCTGCTGCGCTCAGAGTTCTGGGGCCAAGCTGGGCATCCAGGTGGAGCTGTTCAGCACACAGTGTGTCCACTGTTCCAATCAGTAGGCGCAATTAGTTACCAGGGGCATGTAAACAGATGGCAGCCCCTGAACCACAGGAGAGGTCGGGCTCTGCTGAACGGGAAACTGAATGACCATGTTTCAGATGGGCAGGATTCACGGTGGGTCCTAAACCCCAGGGCCAGGAAAGCTGAGGGCAGCCCGTGTCCAATCTGCGGGATGCCCGGGACATGGAGATCCTCCACTTCGAGGTCCTGTGTTGCGGGCACAGCACATGCACCTGCCTCCTCCTAAGCTTGGCCTCATCTTTGGGAAGAGAACAGCAGGGAAGGCACTGGTAAGGCAGGGCCCCACTCTCGCACTCCTGGGGTAACTGACGTTACCACTTTGAGGTAACTGACGTCTTCTCTGCACGGAGGGGACCAGATAACCAGGAAGCGTCTGGAGCACTGAAACAGACCTACCTGAGGTACATCCCCACGGCATAGGCGCACAGGAAGGAGTAGTCCAGGGCCCCAAGCAGCTGCTGATAGTTGCTCTTATCTACATGAATTTGCAAATCAACAGGAAAAGCTCAGGATTGTTTAGTTTATGTTCTACAGCATGGCTATAAAACACAAAGCATCTGTTCTCTAAATCTGGGTGTGCTTAGAAAGTGAAAAGCGTGGTTTTCCACATAGAAAACAAGGCGGTGCATTTTCCGTTCAGTTTCTCTCGAAGGAAAATGAAGTCACCAGTTTCAAATAATCACTAAATGTAATACAGACATCACTCAGATGAGATAAAACCCCCATTGTGCATCGTGGCTGGACATCTGATTGATGTCTTTGGCTTCCATGTCCACTGCCTTTTCTGCAGCACACCTGCCCAGGCCAGCACCCACACCAGGCCCTGGTGTCTCTCTCTTCTTCCCACCCACAGACCTATGCCCTGCAAGTCTAACCTTCCAAGTCTGACAAATACAAAATGCAAATGATCTTCAACACATTCCCCATTAAGAGATCCTTCTTTCAGAAGGAAAAGCTCTGCACACAGGCACTGTGAACACAGTGGTGGTGAAGATGTCACTGCCCTTAGGAGAAGGCTGTCATGGAAATGCAGTTACATCTGGGAACAGCATTACTGCCACTAAAATTATTAACAGCAAGGCTGGAAGCACCTTGGAAGGACGGCTGCTTCAGCTTCTGGATGGACTGACAATGAACTTACCAAATGGTGCCCAGCCACAGTCGGTCTCGTTGTCAGCGAGCTGGTGGGGGGCAACGGACCCAGCCTTGCTGCTGAATCTGACGTCGGCTTCATCCCAAGCAGTGCAATACTTGTGGAGCTCACCCTAGGACGAGATGGGAGGACAGATGCAAGGAGAGCAGTGGCCTCAGTGAAGCTCAGCATGGGACACGGAGAGGAAGTGCCACCCCTTCTCTCCCGGCAGCTTGCCTGGGACACCTGCACCCTGCATTCTAAGAGATACACAAGGCGCCGCTGGGGGTGTGTTAGCAGGACCCACAAGGACACCTGCTGGTGACATTTCAGCAGGACTCTCCAGCAGCCCCACTCCTAAGCACAAAACAGACATAAGCCATCTTCATATGCCACCAGGAGACGAGCCTCGGGAGCCGTTTTAGTCCTACGACTTCCAAGCTGGAAGCTGACCGCCTGTCCTCCTCGCCCAAGTGTCCACAAGGAAGAAGGGGTACATTTCCCTAGATTCACACAACTGAGTGCTACAGGCAATGAAAAAGAACTAGTTACACGTCCAGGCAACAGTGAGGATGAGTCTCAGATACATAACATGAAGAAAAGCAGCCAGACGCGAAGGAGTGCAGACCGCAGCAGCATTCCACTTATAGGAAGCTCAAGGAAGGCAAATGAATCCATGCTGTTAGAGGAGAGAGTCAGGGTTACCTAAAGCAGGACAATGGGGGACAGGGCACCGGGAGCCTTCTGGGAGCTAGAAAAGGTCCACACCTTAACCCAGGGGATGGCTGCCCCCATGTGCATGTGCGGATCTGCCAAGCTGGGCACTGATGATTTGTATACTTTACTAACTGTAAATCATACCTCAATTTAAAACTACCCCTGGGGCAGGGGACCACCAGCCCACCACTATCCCCAGAACCAGCAAGCAGGGCCAGGGTTGGAGGCCTGTGGGAGTCAGGGGAAGGGGAAGCCCTGGAGCTTGGTGACCGGCTGTGTGAGCATGTTACTTGCTGCCCTGCCTCAGTCTCCCCCTCTGCAGACAGGGCTGCTGCCCAGTTACAGAAGCCACTGGGACCTGTGGCGCTGAATACCAGGCTTTTTGCACAGAGCTTAGGATGGGACAGCCCTTGTGAAACAAACCCTGGGCAGAGAGGAGAGCTCCTCCGTCCAGAGGCAGAGGGGCCTGAGTGGGCTCTTCCCCAGCACATTCCTTGGGAAGAGGAACAACACTTTCAGGACAGCCCACATGGTGTGGGGGCCCGTCTTGTTGCGGGGAAACTGAGGAAGAGAGAACGTGCTCTGTGACTGCGCGTCCCCTCCCCAGTGGCCTCTGTCATTCCCATGCTTCTCTTCTTGGGGGTCTCTGCAGTCATCATTCTGCACTACTCAAGGCTCAGAGGAGCTGCCCCATCAAGCGTGAGTGATGTGGAAAGTGGGGTTCTTGTGGTCAGATGGGTATCCCTTAGGGGGATCGAGTGCCCATTCAGTGCCTATGAGAACAGAGGAACATCCTTGTGAGCTGGAACCTGAGAGAGGCCAGGGGTCTGGAGGGCAGTGCACAAAGCTGGCCGCAGCTCAGGGCACAGAACGCTGGGCAGGTTGCCACCACAGTCACCAGACAGGCAGCAGCCGGAAGTCCTGTCCCCCTCTGCAGGAGGGAGTGGCCAACAAGGCTGGCCACCTTCAAAAGGCCAGGGCTTTCGACTTGGGGCTGGACACCCTGATTTATAGCTGGCAGCATGTGGGCCACGTCACTGAGTCCTGGCATGGCACATGGGATGCAGCTGCCCCACGGTCACGTGGCTCTGACATCATCACTGGGCTATTCTGCTGTATTTAAACACTGGCCCAAAAAACTAGCCAAGGGCTCTACTTTACAATGTGGTCATCCTCTGCCTGGCAGCTCCCTCAGCAGAGCTGGTCTTCCCCGGAGGTGCCACGCTGGCCTCCTGGCATCTCGGGAAGCGAGTGCTTTCATTTGCTCCCTGACTGCTCAGGGGCCCCTGGTAGCTCCTGCTTGTGTTTCAAATTCTCCACCCAAGGTGAACATGACGGGTTGTGAGTGTGACTGTGAGAACCAGGGTGGGTGCCTGCAGCCCTTCCTCTCCGTATCAAGCTGGCATCCTCGGCCTTTCTCCATTGACCTGCTGCCTCGTTGAACACTTCTCCTCCTTGGCACCTTCAGAAGTCAGGAGCTTCTGCTCGCCTTTCCCTGCTGCCTCTCACAGAACCAATTTGGCCATACCCAAAGGGCCTGCGTGTCGCTGCTTCAATTCACCCCTCACTGAAGAAAGCCACAGCCAGGACAGGAACACAGGACACTCCTCTGCTGAGGGAGAATCGTGTACAGGGACAAACGGAAGCTTCTAACCTTAACCTTGCACAGAAGAAAGGGAAATAATTCATCAGGCCACTGCTTAAAACAGACTTTTTATGTCCTTTGTGATTTAATATTTCTGGGGAGGAACCGCCTGTGGAAAACATAATTGAGTAGAAATGCTCCCTTTTGTTCATAAATAAGTAGAAAAGGTTTTCTAGTTTTCTTGTGTAATGAGTGGGGACCCCACATCCTAGTTAGGGATGCAGGCTTCGGCTGCAAACAGGCCTGCGTGGAGATCTTGTGCCTCTCTGTGGTTTCTGACCTTGGTGGCGTCACTTACACTCCCTGGCCATCAGTTATGGAGTTGGCATGACAAGGCCTGTGTCCTAGGGTTGCTGTAAAGCTGGACCATAAACGGAGTGCCCTCTCTGGCCTTCCACCCCTGGGAGGAGCCCAGGAAAGGGCTGCTGTGAGTCTGGGCATCTCCCCAGCCCTTCTCTTCGATGTTGAAAGGTCATCTCCATTAGCACCCCGCAGCCCTTTTGGAAGGCTGTCGCCAAAGCAATTGAGGTTTCGTGTGACTCCAGCACAAAGGGTTGTGAGGATATTTACATAACCACAGACTTTCAACAACATGGCTATAGTTGAATATTTCTACAACTTTTATCCCCAAACCTGGCAATCGAGGGACAAGGCAGACTTCATTAGGTTCAGCCGAACTGATAAGCAAACCCCTCGCCAGGTGAACAGATCCTCACCCAGGCGCTTCAGGGACGCACCCTCATCTCTGCAAAGCCACGCCATCCCCAAATACTTGGGGAGGGGATCAAGTCCTTTGGGAAACGTCTGCTTTCTTAAAAGCAGCTTTCTTCACACAAGTGCCTTTCAACAAGTTACATACAAACTCGATCAACCTGCGACCTTAGGCAGGTATTAAAAACTGATCAGGCCAAAGGCTCCCTGGCAACTGAACTCTACACTTATGATATGGGAGGCAGGGAGGCTTAGCGGGCCCTGTGAACACGTGGGTATTGTGGCTGCCACAGCATCCGTACAACACACAGCAGAAAAGCAACAAAAATAAACAGCAGACGCCATTGCGGGTGGAGGGTGGGGGTGGGAGAAGAAAGGGCCAGCCTTCTGGAGGACCGAAGGGAACCTCCAGGAGTCACAGCTTGGGGTGTGCAGGCAAGGCGGTGGGGCCGGGAGCTGGCAGCGTCTTCTGTCTACAGACTCCCTGGCCACATCTAGCCTGCTCCCCACCCCTCCCACTGGCAGCAAGAGGAAATCCTGTCCGGGGAGCAGCAGGCAGCTGCTTCGGGAATTCCTTTTGGAAGATGGCACTAGAAAAGACTGGAGTGCGTCATCCGACACCTGCACAGACCCAGGCGGCCACTGAGGCACAAACATTCGCTGTATTAGCCTGCATTCCATGAAGGCTCCATTCTTTCAAAGCTGAACCTGAGCCACTGTGCAGAGAGAAACCACTCATTCCCCTCCTGGGTTCCCTGCCACACCGTTGCCTAAGGCTATAGCCATGGGCCACATTCTGTGCAGGAGGTACAGGACCTCTGCATACCAGGAGATTATCAGGTGGTCTGGAGGGTGCAGAGCCACTGAGAAGCGACAGTGAGAGGACGGGACAAGAGCAGGGGATTTGGGTCTCACTGAATCCCCCTGGAGGACAGTGGGGTTAGGCCAGCTTCACTGCATCTTCAGCCAACACGGGTGTGTGTGTGTGTGTGTGTGTATCTCTGTGTGTGTGTGTGTATCTCTGTGTGTGTGTCTGTGTGTGTGTGTGAGTGTGTGTGTTTGTGTGTGTATACATCATCTGCATTTAATGATCTGTCTAGTCAACTTTCTGTGGCTCATTAGGCTGTGTGGATGCGCTGATTCTAACTAGTCCTTCACATTCCTTTCGTTAGGCTACAAGAATTCTCCAAAGCATTATCTAAGTCCTAGTAGAGCAATTAAAGTTTTGGTACCAAAAGTAGGAGTGACCAGACAGGCTCTCCCCGACAGACAACAGCACCTGCCCGAGGCCAGGCTCCCGAGATGAGTCACAGATGCCATGTGAAATGCATTAGACACACTCGGGCACAGGCACACAACGCTCCAGTCACGAAGGATACAGGAATAGATGGCGGAGCTTTTTGGTCATTGTTTACTTCTCAAAAATGGAATCACTCTATATATCCTTATGTACATGTTAACTTCTTACTCAACATGCCTCCTGGAAATGTTTCTGAGTCAACTGGTTTGCCTCTAATAAATCCCTTTAGGTAAGGACTTGTCATAATTTATTCAAAGTTTTACCTACTTATTAGGTTCCCTTGATATCCAGCATTGCTTTTCTCTTTTTCCTCTTTTTGGTCATAAGCTGTAAAGATGCTTATGGGATATTCCTAAGTAAGGTGCTTTTATTTTTAGGGTTAAATTTGCAGAAGCATGTCTGAGGCTGTAGTTTTTATTTCACTGGGTGTCACCAAAAGGTGCCTACATGTGACATCCCATCAAGGACACATGAAAAGTCCTCTCCCCTCAAGACCAGTGAACAGGGCTTACTGCTCTGGGCAATGCTGTGCCAGCCAATGAATGCAGCATTGCCTTAATTTGCATTTGGAATACCGGCAGATTTGAACACCATTCCCATATTTCTTGGCAATCCGTGCCTGTGAACCACCTGCTCATCCCCCTTGCCCACTGTTCCTTTGAGTTTCCTAACTTCACACTCACGCCTACGAAAAACCTAATTTTCTTCATGGATTTTTACTTTTTGTTTTTTACATTCATATCTTTAATCCATTTGTTTTTATTTTATTTTATTTTAGAGATGGGAGTCTCTTTCTTGTTGCCCAGACTGGAGTCAATGGTGCAATCTCGACTCACTGCAACCTCCGCCTCCCAGATTCAAGTGATTCTCATGCCTCAGCCTCTCGAGTAGCTGGGATTACAGGCACTCGCCACCATGCCCAGCTAATTTTTATATTTTTAGTAGAGATGGGGTTTCACCACGTTGGCCAGGCTGGTCTTGAACTCCTGACCTCAGGTGATCCACCCACCTTGGCCTCCCAAGTGCTGGGGTTACAAGCATGAGCCACAGTGTCTGACCCATTTGTTTTCATAAAATCGGGATTCAATAGTTATTTCTTCCTGATGAATAACCAGTTGTGCCAACACCATTTCTGAAATTTATTAAATAAGCTGTCAAATATTCCATATTTTCTAATCTATTCTACTGACCTTTTTGTCCATTCTCATGCAATATTAAGATTTGATTATGGTATTAAAATGTTAATCTTTTACATATTTTCATATCACAAAATGTTATCTTTTCTACATATTTCTTGATAATTCCCGGATATTCTTTCATACAAACTTTAATATTATTTATTTATTTAAAAAAAAACCTGCTAAATTTTCGCTGGAGTTACATTTTCTTTAAGTATTAACACTGGGAGAATTGGAACTTTCCAAATGACAAGTCTCCCACCCATGGTACGTACTTCCAGCTTTTCAGACTTTGTTTTCTATCTGGCACCAAGGATTATTTTATTTTATTTTGTATTTTATTTATTTTTTTTGAGATGGAGTTTCACTCTTGCTGCCCAGGCTGGAGTGCAACGGTGCCATCTCAGCTCTCGGCTCACCGCAACCTCCATCTCCGGGGTTCAAGTGATTCTCCTGCCTCAGCTGCCCAAGTAGCTGGGATTATAGGCGCCAACCACCACACTCGGGCAAATTCTTTTGTATTTTTAGTAGAGACAAGGTTTCACTATGTTGGCCAGGTTGGTCTCACACTCCTGACCTCAGGTGATACACCCACCTCGGCTTCCCAAAGTGTTGGGATTATAGGTGTGAGCCACTGCACCTGGCCAGTTTTGTCCTTTTAAGTCCTGTGTGTCCAGAGAGGGGTGGGCACACTTACATCCAAATCAATGCTGCCATCCCCCTGGCTCCAGAGACCTCTGCAGTTTAAGCTGCTCTGAGAAGCCTCTGCTTTCAGGTTTCTGCCCTGGCCTAGTCCAGGGGAAAAGAGCTCCCACTAAGATCTCTGCTGCAGGGTGAGACCCACCTGTCTACCAGCCCCGGCAGACGCTTGCTTTGAGTCCTGATGCGGGGCCACAGCCGGAGCAGCAGGCAGAAGGGACGGGGTTGCGCTTATAACACCACTATCTCTCAGCCCTGGTTTTAGCATCATCATCATTGAAAAAAATACAATTAATCCACAGTGATCAAAGGTAAGTCTAAACATTTCAGACTCGCTCAAATCTGACCTGCTGTGCCATGTCATTCTATAATGACATGACAGAATGAGAATCACTTTCTAATTCACAGCCCCTGGTTCTATTTCAAGTAAGCAAATACATTTTGCTTTTGTTTTGCTTACAATGTTCTAGGAAATATGGGCTATAAATAATCACTCAACTGTTGCGTGGGTCAACAGAATCACTACTACTTGCATTTTCGTTGATGTTATTTATATCATGAGCTCAAGCACTTGGGCACTTCATAAGGCACTATAAAGTTTAGGTTTGAGGTGGTGTGATGTTCCCATCTATCTTAAAAGGTAACAAACCCCATAGGGTTCAGCTTCAAGCCAATCCATGCCCAGGCACATCGCAGCTGCGAGGTTGGGAAATACGTGCGTTTAGGAGGCTCTGGGTGTGATGCTGGGGCTGTACTCAGGTCATTAAACCCAGACAGACCCTGAGGCACAGAGAGGAAGAGCAGGGCCTTGGAGGCAGCCAGTCCACAGCGAATTCCCCTGAGTGCGCAGCAGCCCTGCCAGGGGAACGAAGCCCTGAGCTTCAATTTCCTCACAGGGACACTCACAGGGGTAATGTATGTAGCGCTTTGTCATACCCTGGGGCTCTGTAGCGGCAGTTAGTGACACTGAACTATCAGCTGACCCTGACGTTGTCTCCTCAGAAGCCCTAAGCCCTGAGTGGCCTGGACACCACCACAGACAAGAGTCGGGGTGGGGGCGGGGCTTTGAGATGGACCACCAGGGAAGCCGGGAGAGGGACTGGGACAGGGCTCCCACTTGCTTCTGGCTAACAGGGGCCCTCGTGGTCATCAGGTGGACCCCAAAATCAGTGGCCTGACAAAGAGCCCTCAAGGGCCAGCCTGCCTTACATGCTACATCTGCCACAACAGCCCCCAAGCCCATCAGGTGGCGGCTTCATGGGGACACCCATCCCTGCACGTAGTACTCAAGGCGTTTCCCCCACCTGCAAAGCCAGTTTTCTTCCCCTGCAATCCAAACCCAACCTTTCCAGGTCAATCCTAAACCCCCACACAGGCTCCCCAACTACACCAGGTCCTTTGGCTCCAAAGCGCTCACCAAGTCTCCTCAATAGTTACTTCTGTCATTATCGTCTGCCATTTTCTTGAGCTGTCTGTGTATTTCTCTATCCAGGAAGACAAAAGGTAGTAGTAATCACAGTGGTAACGGTTGGTTATGGGTGCCGACTGGCAGTGGCTGGTTACTGGTGCTAATGTTAGCGTCTCTTGTCAAGCGGATGAGTGCTTCTTAAGGCCCACCACCTCTTTTCCTATTCTTTTCTCTTAAAAACCACATTTTTTAAGGTCTACAAATGCTTTCCACAGTCAACAACTTGAAAGGCATGGAAGTTTCTTGCTTACCAGAGGCCAAGGGGGAATTTTAGAATCTTTTGGGTAAATGAATGTTTAACATCCCCTGGAAGCTGCTGGAGAGTGGGGGGCCTAGGCCTATCGTGAAAGAACCAGCCTCTGGGTTGCCTCTGCAGACCCTGCAGAGCGCAGCCGCCCAGGGCTCAGCCACTGCAAGAGTGGAGGAAGCACAGCTCCAAAGGTCACAGATTTGCAGTCCTGGATCTGGGTCCCTGACAACTACTGGAGAGTGAGTGAGGGGCCATCAAGCTGTGAATGAGCTTTCCCTGGCAGCGATGATTTCTTTGTCCCTTCTACGATAGAGACTCAAAAGCCTCTCAGGCCCCTGATGGTCTATAGGCAGGGTGGCGTAATTCCAATGAGGATCAGAAAATTATCCTGCTTTTCTCCAAGTTATAAGTGGTTATTATGTAGGCTTGTCTACTTTAATCTTCTTTTTTCAAAGTCTAGTGGGACACCTGCTGAACGACTTCCTGCCCACCCATCACTCAAACAGAAACGCAGTGTTCCAAGAACAATGACAAGCCACCTCCGCAGCCAGACCCAGGGTCAGATCCCACAAAGAGCTGGAATCTGGGGAACCATTTAAGACAGGATATATTTGGAAGGAAAAGTCACAAGATAAAATAAATATGCAGCTAAACTTTCAAATTCTGGAACTGTCAATGAATACAACTAAAAGTCTACTACCTCTGAAAGTATAAATCCTAAAACATTTAAAAACTTTAATTTTAGGAAAGGGAAACTGGAAAACCAAGGGAGCAGAATAACTTGTTTCTAAATAATCTGTTTCTCCCAAGTATCTGCCACCATCCCCACCCTCTGCCCCACAAGCTCTTCACGTGGGGAACTCCTTATGGGGATGGCAGGCGTGCTTCTTATGGTTGCTTACCTTCACTATGCTGATGGGCTTTCGAGACAAGTGAAAACTTGCATACAGCAGAAACGTCAAAATAAAAATGAAGGCTCTGTACCTGAAACACAAAACAGCGTGAGAGGACAACATAAACTGACAGAAGTGATGTTCAGAAGTCAGAAACACTGTGTTCTGAAATCTTCTTATGCTGTCTATTATTAATTCCGTTCTATAGCAATTACCAGTATTACTTATATCACTATAATATTGGAACATTAAAAAATATTGCCGCGTTTGCTTTGTCCAAATGGAAACTAAACACCGTAAGAGGCAAGAAAAAGCAAACTGCTTTTCCGCTCCTCATGCACAACACACATTCCACACTTCCAACGCCAGATGTGTACGGTATTCCCATATACCAAGCAAGTCTCCAGCGGACACTAGGTGACCTCTAAGTGAATTCAAGTCTGACATGACACTGTCTTCTGGGAGTCAGCATCAGACCCCCACAGGGCGGGGCTCAGTCCAATCAATTCAATTCTGACACTGTCTTCCAGGAGTCAAAATCAGACCCCACAGGGCGGGGCTCAGTCTGAGGCTGCCCCACTTCACATGCCAGTGACAAGACCCAGGCCAAACCCCAGGATGCGGCCTGCTCTTCCAACCAACTGGCTCTCCATGTGGTTCCCAATGACCCCTCCTCAGGTTTGATTAATTTGCCAGAGCAGCTCACAGAACTCAGGGAGGGAGACACATTTGCTGGTTACTATACAGGGCGTTAGAAAGGATACAGATGAAGAGATGCATAGGGCGAGGGACGGGCCAGGGGCTCGGAGCTTCCTCACCCTTCCCAGGGCTCCACCCTCCCAGAACCTCCTTGTGCTGGGCAGCCCGCCAGCCCCCCAACAGTATCCTTTAGGGAGTCTGTGGAGGCCTCAGCATACAGGCAGGATAGAGCACAGCACCGGCCACTGGTGATCAACTCCACCTCTGCGGGCTCCCTCCACTCCCCAGAGGTCCAGGGTGGAGTTCCATCCTCTCATCACATGGTCGGCTGCCCTAGCAACCAGTCCCCCAGGAGGCTGTCCAGGAGCCCCAGCCACAGTCACCTCATTAGCAGCACCCAAGGTCGTAGAAGCTGTGTGCTGGGAACCAGGGCCGGACACCATGTGTGTTTCTTATTATTATGTCACGATATAAAAAATATTCGTTTCTTATTACGTCACGATATCAAAAACATTCATTTGTTTCAAAAAAAGCTATAATCAAAGGGAAGGCTGGGACTCATGATGTACACTTGAACTTACAAGGCAGAATGAGGGCGATGAAACGTTCAGTTTACAAAAAAGCTAACCACAAGTGTCTTGTGTAGCGTGCTATCCTGGGCACTAACGATCATATTTATTTTTGGCTCTTTGGTTTCTATGCAACTTTTCAGAAGCACACAAGCAAGGCAGACATATAAATATTTCACAGCCCTCAAAGAGAAAAAGTCAGTGACACTGGCAGGCTCTCAATAGGCCAGTGACAGAAACACTGGCACAAAGCCCCTTGCTCCGTTTGGCTGGGAGGAAAGCAGCCGAAGAGGAAGCATGAGCGTGGAGTGTGCAGAAAGGCAGGTGCGTCGGTGAGAAGGGGAAGGGCAACTCTTGCCTGCGAGTCTCAAGCACCGCGGAGAAAAGGATGTTTTAGGGCAACAAAATGGGTGGGGAGAAGGCAGCATTTGACAGGAGAGGAAGGCGAGGGGCAGCTCTGTGTCCTGGGGCACACCTCCCACCTGGGAGAACCTGTCCTGCTTCTGGCCTGGGAAGACCAATGACTTTGAATGGTGCCACCAACAACCTGAATCAATAATTACCTAAGGCGGCGTCCTACACAGAACAAAGAAAGGCAGCGTTTCCGGGAGGCCCGGGGCCAAGGGATCGCTTCTCCCAGCTGTACATCTACGTTTATAATGTTGTGATTTACTCCAAGGGAAGCTTTCCATGAGTAACGAAAAATCCTAGGATCTCAGAGCTGCCTTCTTCTTTGGTCACCAGCTAAAGTAGGGGTCAAATAAATATTTCCAGAATTTTCTTAAAAAAAAAAAAAAAGACCATATCTCAGGTGGGAAAGAAAGGTTGGTGGCTCCGTGGGACTCAAAACTACAACCTTTGGAACGTCTGTGCCTCAGGGGAAGGAACCCAACCACACCGACTGGCAGAATACCTGCTGACTGAAGACAGAGACGCCCCCGCGCTCCCTTCCTCATCAGGGAACTACCTTCCGACGGCCTTTCTACAATTCTTCCTCCAAGCCGATGGCAAGGGCCAAATGGGGAAAAAGTGAAACTCTAAAAAATGAGTGTGCAATTTATCTCAAAGCCCAAAGAACAAAGGCTATGTAGGTACAGAGGACTTCCTCCGGACGCCCAGGCCTCGGTCCTCACATTTCTGAAAACCATCCTTTCTGGCAGGGAAAGAAAGTCTCCGCGCTTTGCATGGGGCTCTGTTAGGCCACCGCTGCTGCTTTCAGCTTCGCTGCTGGTGCAGGAAGATTCCAGGCCCCTGGGCCTCACCGGCCCTCAGTGCTCACGTGTCCAGCCCACAGCTTGACACACTGGTCACTTTACTCCACCTGCTGTAGCTGACTAGGGCGAGTAAGGCTGATGGGTGACCCTGATCAGCCCTCATTGGAGGACAGGATCTCCTTTTCCAGTCTCCTCAAAACGGGTGAACAAAGCTCTGAGGCCGAGTTCCCTCCAGCACCTCCCCAGTCAGTCCCAGCTGAGTCCAGGGAGCAGCTCTCCCGTGCCCCGAGGATTCTCCATCTACAGCACCAGTTCTACAGGTGTTCTCACCCGGGAGAATCGGAGTTTCACAGTTACCCAGCTGGGAAGGATTTTGAGAAAAGCAGCTCTGCCCTATGAGCTGTGGGTTCACGTTCTCTATCCTCCAGCCAGGCAGCCCAGAAGGAAGGCTGTGTCCCTTTGTCGGGCTGAGGTCTGCAGAGTGCTGGGGCCCCGCATTGTCAGGGCTGCCTGGGTGATCAGGCCCCGGCGATGCGCTCTGGGCCTCCGCCCTCCTCTTCGGGGTGGCTCCCGGCTGGTGCTCGGCAGCACACGCCAAGACGGCCTGAGAACACCGAGGACCACACAGGGAGCAGCACGTGCCTCTGGAATTCTTCAGTTCAGCCTTGTGTGTTGGGAGATGCTTTAATGAATAAGCCCCTTTGGGAAGAGTCACTGCCACAGTGTAGCCGGGCTCTCTGGGGGAAGCTGTCCTGTAGAATTGGGGTGAAGGGTCCATTTACGTAGCAAACTGAAATTTCCTAAAGACTGAAGAGGAAAACCCTGTATGTATTTAGTCAGGGTCAAGCCAACTCTACTTCTTTAGTTTCCAAATTTGTCCTTCCTCCCTCATTTTCCTCATCTTCTGTACTCAGGACTTGGGGCTTGGGGACAAGGGGCGAGGCAGTAGCTGGAGGCTGGACTTTCCTCTTTGAAAGGTCTGACTTCAGCTCCATGGCCACTGCTACGCCGTGGCAGCCACAGTCAGGCCGCTGCCTTGCTGGTGGTCACCCAACATGCCTGGCCTCTGGGCAGGCTGATGCTTCACTCTGCAGCAGTGGCCGGGTTACGAGCTCCAACCCCCGGAAGCCACGCAGCCCTCCTGAAGTCCTTTCTTATTTCCTGATTCCATCTATGTTACCTTCATTGTTTACAAAGCAGATGTTTTGGATGATATTTGTTTCCTTTTATTCATTTTGTACTGGGTTGAATATTGTCCCCCAAAATTTCACGTCTACCCAAAACCTCAGAAAGTGACCTTATTTGGAAATAGGGCCATGCAGACATGATTAGCTAAGGTGAGGGCATATTAGATTAGAGTGAACCCTAATTCCAATGCCTGGCGTCCACACCAGGAGGCCACACGAAGACTCAGAGATGGACAGGAAGGGAGGACATGTGACCACACAGGCAGAGGCTAGCACGACGCAGCCACCAGCCAAGGGCTTTGGCAGGAGCAGGAGCTGGAAGAGGCCAGGAAGGGCCCGTCCCTAGAGCCTGCAGAGGAAGCGTGGCCATGTCGACACTTTGACTTTGGACTTCTGACATCCAGTGATGTGAGAGAGTAAGTTCCCGTTGTTTTGAGACACTTGGCTTGTGGTACCTTGGGACAGCAGCCCCAGGAGGCTAAGATAGCGCTTTCATTTTTGTTTTGTGTTAAGTTTAGCCTTATGAATACAAAGCAAATGCAATAAAACACTAATGGTGGACTCTCTCTGCTCCTCAGTGTTCCGCTTACTTCCTGCAGTTATGGCTACTTGTAGCATGCCTGGCCTCCCACACGTGACAAACCTCACACTTCTAGCAAAAATGCAGGTCTCAGCAATGACAGCATCAGACGGGGGTGCCCCTCGGGGCCTCCTCAGACATGGTCTCAAAGACTGCGTGTTCTCAGGGGAGCGGCAGGCAGCCCGCTTTGAGCGAGAGGCTCCACGCAGAGCATCTGTCTTTGTCTTCTTGTTTGACTGTCACTACCTCAATCATATGCAAATAAGGAGTAAAGAAACGCTTTTGAGAATTACTGAGTGACATGATTTGGTGCAGAAATTAGTCCAAAGACGTCCTCATTTCAGAAACAAGGAAGCCAGGCAGAGAAGCGATGCCACGTCCTCTTCAGAGCATCCTGTCAGGAGGCACAGGGCAGCCGTGACAGTGAAGATGGTCCTTGGTTAAAGTGCTGTCTGCCTCATCGTCCCTCTGTGAAACCACCACGTTTCCCTCTAAGTAATGAATATGGAACTTCGGGAAACCTGCTTTGAGATAATGTAGCTATCCAGTTCCTCCAGCTGCTGCCACACGAAGTGCATCGGGCGTTCTGTGCCTGTGCTGAGCACCCTGTAATGGCTCCCGGCGTGGGTGGCTGGCTGCACATCCTCGCCCCACCTGGCGGCCGGCCTCCACTGTACGGAGCTCGCGTTTCTCCTACTTATTCAGTTGTTATCAGTAGGACTTGCCAGAGTCTTACGCTATTCAATGGGCTATCATCCATGACGAGTCTCACTTATTGTGAATCTCAGATTGTCCTAGATCTGGTTGTTTGTAAATACTTCCTTATTTTCTGGCACAAGACTTTCCAGCTCATCTTTTACTTGTCCTGCCGTAGTCCCGGCATCGGCCACATCTCCAAGGACTCCTGGCTCCTTCTAATGGGAGATGCAGAAACCAAGATCCCAGACCGAAGTGTGCTCACTTGAGGGCTATTACTGTTCCAAGGACCTCCCAGTGGGATGCATTTGCATGCGCACACACACACACACACACACACACGCACACACACACACCCTTCTCTATTTCTATATCTACCGTCACCAGCTCATCCTGAGACCTATCATTCCAATCCAACCCCACTCAGTTCATTCCAGTTCCCCTCCCTCATCCCATGTCTGCGGCTCCTCCTCCTTTAAAGAGAAAGCTTCTCATTTCTGTGGGATTTCTGTCAAAAATATATACTTTGAATCGAATCATGTAGATGAGGAAATAACAAAGTTAAAATGTGGCACATTCCATAAAATAAGTGGCTTGAACTCTTCAAACATAACAAGGCCATTGTCTCAGAAGAAGGAAAAAAAAAGCCAAGGTCATAAAAGATTAAAAAAAAAAAAAAAGGCCGAGGAACAGTGCTAGAGTGAGAGAGTAGGCCCACAGGATAACTACACGCAATGTACGAACCGGAAGTGACCCTGAACAGAAGAAACATGCTGTAACAGATACCTGACATTTGATGGATTTTTAAACAAGGACTGTGGATTAGATAACTGTATCTTAGTGTGAAATTTCCTGATTTTGATCTTTTTGCTGCGGTTTTATAAGAGAATGTCTTCTTTATAGGAAATACAGAAGGAAGTATTTAGAAACAAAGGGGTAGGATGTCTGCAATTTACACTCCAGTGGTTCAGAAAAGTGTGTGTGTGTATGAACATACATCTACGTACACGTGTGCGTGCACACGCGCACACACACACTGTGGACGGGCAGGAAGAGAAGCAGATGAGGCTAAATGTTCATCTCTGACATACAGGGTTCTACAGGAACATTCTTACAGATGTCAGTAAGTGACATGTGTTTGAAATTATATCAAAATAAACTTACAAAATGAAGAAGCTAAACACTCACTACATAAAACCTAAGTGTTCCGGCACTTGTGGCTAGGCTCACAGCAGACATGAAACACGAGTCAAGAAGAGCAGCACTCTGGCTGAAGAACGCAGATTGCTTCAAGTCAAACCTGACACCCCATGATGCTCCACCAACCAGCAGGGCTGAGAAGCTGTGCAGGGCTGGGGGCTGCCAGGGGCTGGCATGGAGACCAGTGGGCCCGGAATTGGCCACTGTGGCATCAAGATCATTTTGAGCCAAAGGCTTTTGAGTTCCTGAATTCTGAAAAGCAGAAGCCCCCAGAAGAATTCAGAAGAATCCACCTGTCATCAATCCTGTCCCTGGAGCAGCCAGGGGAGCTGGATTCCTCCTCACCACTGGGATGAGAAGCCTCCACCCTGCACCGAAACAGGAACGATCACAAAAGTACACACTGCCCATCTGCTCTCGAGGGCCCACTTGTCTTTCCAAAAGCCAGTTGTTTGCCCACAAGTGCCCTCCTCCCACTCCCCTTCCCCTGTGAAAGACACAGCCCCGAATTCTAAATGCCCCTTTGAGTGACACTTTTCTATGACCTCTCATACATAAGTGGTGAAATCTGTCTTTTCTCTTGCTAGTCTGTCTTTTGCCATCCAAGGTCCCCCAAAACAGAACCTGGGAGGGAAGAAGCAAAGTTTTTCCTCTCCCAGAAGAGGTTAGCAGGACACATCAGAGGCCAGGGAGCCCAGCTTCAGACTCTGTGCTTGTCAACTGCTTCCTTCTAAGGAGAATGGAATTAACGAGGCCGCCTAAGAGGAGGATTCTCAGAATACGCGAGGAGAGGCGCTCTCTGAACAGAAAGTGGTTCTGGGCTGCACCAGAACGTTTCCTTTTCTCTCTGAAAGTTCTGCCCCAGCGAGGCCACTCACCTGATCTCACAGTTATATAACTTATATGTAAGTGATGTGCTTATTCACCACAGCCGTTTGCTGATTCTGCTGGTAGTCAGTGGTCATTTAGGGACCGTGATTCTTACAGGAACCACTGGAGACCACACGAGAGCCTAACACTGTCAATACCAGCGCAAGGACAAAGAACACCTCAGCGGTGCTCCGGGGGTCACGGCTTCCGCTGCCAACAAGCAATTCAACAGTTATGGGAGAGGTCAGTGATCCAAGTTTCATGTGTTTGATAATGAAACTGGCGCAAGACAACTACCTGCACAGTGGCCCTCACCCATACACCGCTGCATGCCAACGGCCTGGCCCACCAGGACTCACCACTGATCCCTGGAGAATGAGATGATGAAGCGGATGCCAGCAGGGAGGCGAGCCATTTACGTCGCCACTGACCACAGCGCCTCGGTCCCAGATTAAGATGCTTCATAAATAAGTCATGAATCCTGGCCCCAGGTTCTCTCTCTGCTGCCGCGGTCGCTCCCACAGGCTGGAAAGCATGGAAAGAAGGTGTCGTGCTGGGTCTTACCCCTTCCTCCTGGCAGTGGCTCTGCTCTCTACAAGGAGAAGGAAAGGCATTCACAGTCCAGTGTCCTGACATTCAACCTTCAGTGTTACTGGCAGAAGTCACCCCACAGATGTACAGTAGCTTTCCAGATCAAAGCTGGACGTCTGATACGAGCAGGGGCCCCCACCACGAGTGTTACTAGGAAGAGGTGGAGTACCTGCCCTCAAGGCAGTTTGTTCTGAGAACCCTGAAATGAATTTCAGATAATGTTCTGATGGTGGATAAAAAGGAACCAAGGAACTCATCTCTATCTGGGAGGCATCTAGAGATCAACATCAACCCACTTACAAAAGCAAGGACGTGCCCTGCAGTCGCACCATGTGCCCAGATATCAGGGCATGCCAGGGCACTGGACTGGCTCAGTTCCACCTCTATGGACCAGGCCACCTTTGAGTCATAGTAACAGAGAAATGTGGGCCTAGACAAGAGGGCAGATCAAACCAATCATTCAGTTGTGGCTCTGCCATTTGAATCCAAAGGAGGAGTAAGCTTTGCCTCTATCTGCCTCCTCATTTGAATCCAAAGGAGGAATGGGCTTTGCCTTTATTTGCTTCTTCATTTTTCATCTCCCATGGTCACCTCAGAGGTCACAGAAAATCACCTGATTATGAAGTCAGGGCAGAAGGCAGGGCAATATACGAAGGACTGGGGAGGGAGTTCTGAGAACTGAGAAGGGGCCCAGCACAGCAGGCAGGCCTGGCCTCCCATCCCAAACGCAGCCTCATGACATTCCCGAGTCACTGCATCTTCCAAAACTCATCAGTTCCCCAGATTTGCTTTTGCCTCCCTCCAGAGTGAGCTTCCAAAAATGCACATTCGCAAAGGATTTTCCCTTATACCACCTTTTACAAAAAGATTCAAAACCCTGCTGAGCTTTTGCCCCAGGAGCTGCCCCTCATCTCTCCTCCCTGCCCCAGCTAGAGCTACACCTTTCTCCAAGGAGGTCCTCGCAGGGCCTGAACAGGGGGGTTCATCCCACTTCAATGCCTCCTGCCTCCAAGGCTGACCCTGGGCTGTGTAAGCTGAGGCAGGTCACTTAACCTTTCAGCTCCCTCTCCTTCCAGGCTAAACAATGGGGGTGATAGCATCTATGTTGTTATAAACACAAAATGAGATAATCCATGGGAAGCCAAGTAGCCTGGTATGTAGTAAATGCCCACCAAACACTAGCTGATATTATCCTCATTGTAATTCAAGAAAGGAAGGCCAGGGACTGCAGGGCAATGTCCTGCTTCCATCTCCTTGTCCAGAATCTAGCACAGACCACATGCTCAAGAAACTCACGTTGAATAATATCCGTAAATACTTCAAAACCGCATCTGCTCAAACCTCCAGATTTAAGCAATATTTTGCTCAAAATAGGTGGGCTCCAGTCTGGGTCCAGATGTACCCTGGGAAACGACTTTGTGATGACAACTCCAGAGTAAAGAATTTGGTTCAGCAGTGGCTGGAAATGGATGGTCGGAAGCAAATGTCTTCCTCCCAGTACTGCTTCTCCATGCCCAGCGTGTCTGGAAACATTCCACTGCCAACTACTAAATAAATCAAAAGCCTCCAACTCTGATAAAACCTGTGACAACAACATCAAAAACCCAGAAGGCACTGACAAATCAAGAGGGGGAAAAAAAACCTCTTTGATTTCTTTTTAAAACAATGATGATTCTTTCCCCTGTAAAATGGGTGAACAGAAAGTGCTATAAATTCTCATAGGGAGTGCAATTAAGATGTGCAAAGACAGTGATTTTACTTTGGGAATGTTAAGAGCTCAACTAATGGGGCCCTTCCTTCCCAGCCTGTGCAGCACCACTGAACACCGCTTCATTCAGAGTGGGTCAGGACCTCTGGGAGCATGAACCATGACTGACAAGCTCTTATTTGAGCCCCGTGACCACCCTGAAGAGGCAGGGCGTTCATTTCACAAGGGAGAAAAATGAGGCTAGGCGGCTCGCCCGGGTCAGCTGGGTAAGTGGGGCAGATTCCAGTTTGTCCTGTTTCTCTGAGCCACCTCCTCCCTTCAGCCACTCTTCCTCCTGCTCATCCCCTGCAAAGAAAGGGCAGCAGAATGGAAGCAAATCACTTGGTTTAAACCCAGTTTCTGGCACACAGTCCAAGTACATAAAAAGAAGACATACTTTTTAAAAAAGTCACTCTATAGGCGCCCCTGGAACTCACCATTTCAGAGAGGAAAAGCGGCAGAATGTCCAGTTTCATTGCACTGTCAAAGACAGTGACTTAGGCCAAGCACGGTGGCTCACGCCTGCAATCCCAGCACTTTGGAAAGCAGAAGCAGGCAGATCACTTGAGGCCAGGAGATCAAGACCAGTGTGGCCAAACCCCATCTCTACTAAAAATACAAAAATTGGCAGGGTGTGGTGGTGCACACTGCAATCCCAGCTACTTGGGTGTCTGAGGCATGAAAATCACTTGAACCCAGGAGGCAGAGGTTGCAGTAAGCTGAGATCGCACCACCACACTCCAGCCTGGGCAACAGAGCAAGACCCTGTCTTAAAAAAATAAAAAGGATAGTAACTTAGGCAACAACCCATTAGAACATCTTTATTACAACCTGTAAAACTCGCACATGTACCCCTGAAACTAAAAGTTAAAAAAGAAACCCTGTAAGACACACAGTTTTATACCTATCTCCTGAAAAAACGTACCCTAGCCAACTGTAAAACAGAATGAGCTGAGGGAAAGAAACATTCACAAGCTCCATTCCCAGGCCCACTCACATGTGACCCACGCTGCCTAGAAGGTTCCAGGTCACCTTCGGAGACTCAAATAATGGAGCTAGGGAGTGAGCAAGAGCAGGAGGAAGGTTCAACAGTCTTTTTAGGGCCGAGGTGCCGTTACACATCATCAAAGCGCCCCCACAGATATTTTAAATAATATTAAAGTGGCCCCACAGATATTTAAAAGAATATCAAAGTGGCCCCACAGATATTTTAAACAATATCATCAAAGCAGCCCCACAGATATTTTAAATAATATCAAAGTGGCCCCACAGATATTTTAAATAATATCAAAGTGGCCCCACAGATATTTTAAACAATATCATCAAAGCAGCCCCACAGATATTTTAAATAATCTACTTCATGACAATTTTTTTTAACTGGATCTCACTTCACAGGCAAAGATGGGTGAGAAAGTCAATTCTCCTCCAAAAGTTTTCATGCATTTTTAAAAATCAAGAAATGGAATACAACTTCCTTTCCAGAGTACACACTTTCTATGGCTTTTTGCTTTTCAAGGCGCTTTCCATATTAGAGGGAAATGGTCACTATCTCTTTCCCCTTGGCTGAAGTACAAGGAACCTGAATTCCATTTGCACCAACTCCCTTACCTGCCCCCAACCCCAACAAACAGAACATCACAGGTGGGCTGCACCAAACAGAACGTGTAGACGCAGTTCCAAAATGACTTAGAGAATCACAGAAGGTCTGGAGCCAGGGATTTTCAAGCTTGCTCTAAAAGAGGATTAATAAAGAAACAACGGGGGAAGTCTAAAATATTTATCCACTTACACAACTTCTGACAATTTAAGTTCAAGGGCCGGCAGGCAGGCAGGCAGCTTCCAGGCTAAGAGGTAAGGGAGACCCAAAGGGCAGGCTTTGCAATTGCTCCATTAGAAATTCAAACCTGGGGCCGCTGGCTGGAGTGTTGGTGGAGTGAGGGTGGTAAGGGGCTTGGCCAGTATCCTTCGTTCAAATGCAAATCTTTAGATCACACGTACCTTCTCGGTCACCAGAATCACGGCGTGGGCCGCAAAGGCTGGAGGGCTGGTGGCCAGCGGCGAGGGGTCTTCCCGGCGCGGCAAGCCCTTTATTATAAACCCAGAAGGTCGCTGTCACTCGCGCTGGCCAGGAGGCCCACGGGCTCCGGGAACCAGCTGCTCAGCGGACAAACAACGCAAAGGCCCAGGGTGCCGGCTCCTCCCTGGGCGGCTGGTCCCTGGAGGAGGTGAATTCCGCGGGCACGCCCACGTCCCCATCGCGGCAGACAATGCGCAGGGTCCCCTCCTGCCGGCTCTCTGGACCCTCAGCTGTCACCGCGGCCCGGGCCGGGGTGGGCAGGGGACCCGGCCGGACAGCTCAGCTCGCCCCTGCCGGGGACTCCGTGGAGCGGCAGCCGACCCCGTGCCCGCTCCCTCTGCCTCCACTTCCCCAGAATCCCAGCATCGCCCTGGTCCGGGAACGCCCGGCATTGTTGCTGAGGGCCACTCTTCTAGATGTCGTATTTCAAATACTCCCCTCCGCGAAAATAGCTTGAGACTGTCGCAGGCTCTCTGAAAACACCCAAACCAGCCCCCACCTCGCTCCCATAAAAAGAAAAGGAAGGGGGAGAGGAGCCGAGCTCCTAGTGCGCAGGGCCCGGCGCCCAGCTCCCTGCGGGTGCAGCAGGTGCGGAGCCGCTGCGGCGGCCGAGCGCCGGCGACACCGCAGGTGCGAGCGGTGGGGCTGGGGGTCCCCGCCTCCCCGCCCGACCCCGGCCCCGCGTCTCACCTGCGCCACCGAGGCCCGCGCACCGCAGCCCGGCCCGGCCGCCGCGGGCGCTTCCTGCTCGCGACTTCCTGGAGCGGCGCGCTGGAGGCCCCGCCGCCCTTTCACTTTCCCGGGCCCGCGGGTCTCCCGCGGGGCCGCGTGGCTCCTCCCCTTTCTTGGCCGCCCCGACCCCCGGCCCCGGCCCCAGTCCCGGCCCCGGCGCGCCCAGAGTCGCACCTGCCCCGGGGCCACCGGACGGGGGCGCCTCCAAGTCTTGCGGCGCCGCCCGTCCTCTGCGGGCGCCCCCGGGTCATGGCCAGCACCTTCCCTGGCTCCGAAGGTGCACTGGCTGTCGCTGGCGCGCTCCCCACCACCTTCGTGGAGTCCCCGGCGGCCTCTGCACCGCTGGCGCTCTGTCTTCCAAGAAGGTCTTCCCCACAGGCGGCGAGGGTCACACGCCGCCGCTCCCCACCCCCAAAGAGGGCCTTTCCCTGGCCTCCGTCCTATTATTATTCCTATTGTGTCTTCTCAAGGGGCACAGTCGTGAAGACTAGCCCTCCATAGCGTGGAAATGGGCACGCGGATATGGCTCTGTCGACCCAACCTGTAAGCCAACTTGTGTCCCACCTCGTAGGCATGTGACAGATGCAGCTCCTGTGAGGCTGGAGAAGCCCACCCGGGTTCTTACCCTTGCTGGCCGGTGCCCTGGCACAGCTCCCACTTCACCCCGGGAACAACTATTCTCCTTCGGCAGCCCAGGGAGGGGCCTGGCCATCCCCCTGGAAGCTACTGGAGAACACCAACGGCGGATCACAGCATGGCTTCAGAGCAGACGGGGTTCCCAGGCCGCTCCTCCGGGAAGACCAAAGTGAGGCGGAGGGTAAATTTTCAGGGAAAAGCCTGCCCCTGGATAAAACAATGCCTACGGATAAAGCCAACCCGAGGCCTGGCTGTAAATGTCCAACAGACCAGGGCCCCTGGGACCTCCCCCAGGCACGCGAACTTCCCTCTGGAGAGTGGAGAAGGTCCTCCTGCGGCCCTGCTCTGTTTCTAAAACACTGGGACCTCTGTGTCTCTCTTTGCTGAGCTGGGCTGCATGAAATCCACTACTGTGTCAGGCATTTGAGAAACCTTCTGCAGGCAGAAAGAAAACCTGCCTGCATCTTGGCCATGCATGGTTCAGCCACAGGAAGCCTGCTGGCCCCTCATTCCACAGGGAGGTGGCCCAGGGCGCCAGACTTCTCTCTTTGGCTAGGTCTTCTTCAGACCTTTTCCTCTGCAGGCCGCCTCTGCCAGTTCTTTCTCCTCTCTTTTGAGCTCTCCCCTCCCCGCGATAGCCCAATGTGGCTCCCACCTCTCTCTCTCCAGTGGTCTCCCCTGCCCTGGCCCTCACTGCTGGTCTGCTCCAGGCTAGTCCTCTCTCACAGCACGTGTGCAACAAACAGCCTTCTCACTTCCAACTTCTACCGCGTGCAACCTACTCTTTAAGCTGCCTCAAATTGCCCTCCCAAAGCAAAAGCTGATCTTGTCATTCCTGATTTTAAAACTTTCAGGTCATCCCATCACCTACAGGAATGAGACCAAATTTCTCAGTAGCTAGATACAAGGTCTGAAACCAGTTTTGCAGCTGAATCTCTATTCAGGCCGAAGCTTCCAGACCGCTCTTTACTTCCAAGATTGTGTGCTTTTTTACACTTGCGTGTTTCTGCCTTGGCCCTCCTGACCCCAGCTTTTCCAAGGAAGCTCAAACTTTGAGAGCCAGTTGAAATATTTCTCCACTCTTGGGTCATCTCCACTGCACTTCTGGGGCACTGTATAGACCTCTTTATCACATGGACTTCCCACAGCGAATTGGTACACAGTGAAACCTTGTACCTTTTGGCCAGCAACTCCCCGTTTCTCCCACACTACTTCTCCTGGTAACCATTATTATTATATGCTCTACTCTGAGTTCCAGTTTTTCAGATTCCACAAATAAGTGAGGTCATGCATACTTTTCCTTTTTTGTTAGTTTGTTTGTTGGTTGGTTTGTTTTCAGACAGGGTCTTGCTGTGTCGCCCAGGCTGGAGTGCAGTGGCATGAGTACAGTGGCCAAGGCTCACTGCAGCCTTAACCTCCCAGGCCCAGGTGATCCTCCACCTCAGGCTCCTGAGTAGCTGAGCCTACAGGCCCATGCCACCATGCCCAGCTAATTTTTTTAATTTTGTAGAGACAGGGTCTTGATATGTTGCCAGGGCTGGTCTTGAACTCCCAGGCTCAAGCAATCTTCCTGCCCAGCCTCCCAAAGTGCTGGGATTACAGACGTGAGGCACCGTGCCTGGCCTATATTCGTTTTTCTGTACCTGGCTTATTTCACTTAGAGTAATGTTCTCCAGGCTCATCCATGTTGTTGCAAATGACAGGGTTTCCTGCTTTCCTGTTTAAGGCTAAATAGTGTAACACTGTGTACATGCAGATACACACCACATTTTCTCTGTAAACTTCCTTCTAGTACTGCTTTTGCTGCATCCCATAAGTTTTGGTATGTTGTTTCCATTTTCATTTGTCTTAAGGAATTTTCTGATTTCTCTTTTGATATCTTCTTGACCCCACTGATTGTTCAGGCGTGTGTGCAATTTGTGAATTTTCCTATTTTCCTCCAGTTACTGATTTCTAGTTCATACCATTGTGGTCAGAAAAGATACTTGATATGATTTTAATCTTCTTAAATTTGTTAAAACTTGTTTTGTGGCCTAATATATGATCTATCCTAGATGATGTTCTGCACACACTTAAATGTGTATTCAGCTGCTCGTGAAGGAATGTTCTGTATACGTCTGTTAGGTCCATTCGCTTTAGAGTGCTGTTCAAGGTCACTGTTTCCTTATTCATCTTCTGTCTGTTGAAATTGGGGTACTGAAGTCCCCTGTTATTACTGTATTGCTATTTCTCCCTTGAGTTCTGTTAATCTTCTCTCTATTAGGTACTCTGGTGTTGAGTACATATATATTTATATTTGTTATATCCTCTTGATGAATTTATCTCTTTATCATTATATAGTGACTGTCTCTTATGAAATTGTTTGACTTAAAGTCTGTTTTGTCTGATACAAGCACCTTTTTTGCTCTTTATTTGGTTACCATTTGCATGGAATATCTTTTCCCATGCCTTTATTTTCAGCCTATGTGTATCCTTAAAGCTAAGATGAGTCTTCTGCAGGCGGCACATAGTTAGATCTTTTTAAAATATCTGTTCAGCCAGTTCTAATTTTTGATTGCAGAATTTAATCCATTTACATTACGTAATTATTGATAGATAAGGACTTACTACTGCCATTTAACAAATTGCTTTCTGGCTGTTTGTAGTTCTCTGTTGCTTTCCTACTCCCTTACTACCTTCCTTTCTGAGGTGATGATTGTTGTAATGGTATGCTTTGATTCCTTTTTCTTTACATTTGTATTTCTACTACAGGTTTTTGTTTTGTGGTCACCATGATGCTGATATAAACATTTTATCACAGTCTGTTTTAAACAAATAAAGTCTAAATGTTAGCTGCCAATGGAAATCCTACACTTTAATTTCTCCTCCCACAACATATTTTATGTTACTGATATCACAATTTACATCTTTTTTGTATTGTATATCCATTAACAAATTATTATAGTTACAATTATTTTTAATACCCTTGTCTTTTAACTTTTATAGTAGAGTTAAAAGTGATTCACATACCACCACTGTAGTATTATTCTGAATTTGACTATAATCTTACCTTTACAGTGAGTTTTCTACTTTCATATGTTTTCATAATGTTAGCACCCTTTCATTTCAACTGGAATAACTCTTTTTAGCATGGTGGTCTAGTGGTGATGAACTCCCAAAGTTTTTTTCTGGGAAAGTCTTCATCTCTCCACTTCTATAGGATAGCATTTCCTGGTATAATATGCTTGGTTGGTAGTTTTCTTTCAACACTTTGAATATATCATCCCACTTTCTCCTGGCCTTCAAGGGCTATGCTGAGAAATTCATTGACAGTCTTATGGGTTTTCCTATGTGTGACAAGTTGCTTTTTTCTTGCTGCTTTCAAAATTGCTTCTTTAAGTTTTGAGAATGATTATAATGTATCTTGGTGAAAATCTCTTTATCTTTAGGTTATTTGTGGCTCTTTGGGACTCATGGATCTGGACATTCATTTCCCATTTGGGAAGTTTCTGTCATTATTTATTTAAATAAGCTTTCTTCTTCCTTCTTTTTTTCTGTTCCTTCTAGGATTCCCATAATGCTTATACTGGTTTGCTTGATGATCTTCCTAAGTTGAATAGGCTTTCTTCCCTCTATTTCACCAAGAGCATGGTATGTATGCCATCAACTTAAGGAGCAGACATTCTCCCAGAGAAGGCCAATGCAAAGCCAATGACAGGCCTTGACTGACAGGGAATTGAGGTTTCCCTGAAGGGGGCCTTGAGGATACTGCGATTCAGAGCTAAAGAAAATACCTCATGCTTAGAAAGTATTAGAGCATTAAACACTATTAGAGAGAAAGAAAAGGGAAAATCAGAACCTGATTTATGTGTTAGTCTATTTGGGTTGCTATAAAGGGATACCCAAGGCTGGGTAATTTATAAAGAAAAGAGGTTTGGGCCGGGCGCGGTGGCTCACGCCTGTAATCCCAGCACTTTGGGAGGCCGAGGCAGGTGGATCACAAGGTCAAGAGATCGAGACCATCCTGGTCAACATGGTGAAACCCC